GTACAAAAGCAGAGTGGTCCATCAAGTTGAGCTCCGATATGGGAGGCAGTGCGGAGGTTGTTGCCATTTTTCTAGGAAAGCGAATACTCCTGTGTGACTCGAATCTTCAGTACTGCGATACTGCTCTTATACGAATAGCTGTGATATTGTCGGGTTGAAAGCACACCCAACCTCTAATATTTGTTCACAATACGCGTGCGCTCGTAATACACTTACAAACACAAATTAAAAATGGATTGTTGAGGAGAAAAAATGTGAACTGTCGTGAAAACCTACAGACTTTCTCTTGGGTAGCGCCAACCGCCAAAGCGCCAGGATTCCCAGGGCCCAGGGCCCAGGAGTTTAGGACTCGTCGGCTGAGGAGTTTAGGACTCGCCGGCTGAGGAGTTTAGGACTCGCCGACTGAGGCCTTCGAAGGCTTTCAGACCTCATGATGTGGGAGTCCAGGGCACCAGGCTGTCAGCCAGGGTTCCGAGCTCTCGGCCGGGTTCACCCTCGGTTTCAATCATTTGCCTCTCTCTATTTAGTTACTAGTTGGAGGCTTTTTTCTATTTTTTATAAAAGGTGACAAACCCAAAACTGTTTTGATTTTTCACTTTTGACACGTTATATATTTATTTATTTTTTAAACAACTGCATACAGGGCTGCAGGCAAATTGTTTCCATAATAAATATTCATGAATTTTATCAGGTTAATTTTTGTAAAAAATATTTCAGTGGAGTTGTACACATTCTATTAGAGTGAAGACGCTATACAGTCATACATATAAACCCTAAAACAACCCAAATTTTATATACGCTCACTTCTCATAATTTCATGACTCATTATAAAGCTCAGGATTATGGGCTAATGGCCCCAAGCACAGCGCCCCAACTCACCCGATTCCAAGTCCCCAGCCTGTACTCTACTACTTTACCGCTTGCCGCATAGCTGCTGTTTATTTACATGTTGCTTGTTAAACTTTCTGCGAGACTCACGACTTCACGAGTCACGACTCAGTTGTTCACGAGAGTCAACGATTCAACGACTCACAGGCTGGACTCATAACGTAACCCAAATACAACGTAGACGTATTACGTTTTGACGTATTACGTTTTGACGTTTACGCATTGGATTTAAGCGTAAATACGTATTATACTTGCGTCTATGATCACCACAAATGTGTTTTTTCAAAACCTGATTAATTTGGAATCTGAATTTTTTCCACCAATGAGCGGCTACGCAAGAGACTTTCCAATTCCTAAATATATATTTTGTTTTGTGAATTAGGTATAAATATACAGTGATACTAATTGTAATTTGTGACGAAAGTGTACTAATACCAAAGGATCGTTTAATATGTATGCATCACGAAAGACAGAGAGCTGGCATCTTTGCGTGCAACGGAAGTGCCGTGTGATGATATGTACGTGCTCATCATTGTGTGAACTACACAGC